CAAATATTAGATTTTAATTTTTGAAAGCTGAAATATATGTAAGTTACGAAATTTACTGTTAAATAGTTTCAAAAAAAAATATGCGTAAAAAGAAAAATTGAGGTTTATTTAGGGAAAATATAAAAATTGCGCATTTTAGTGTGTTTCTTTTTTAAGATGCTTCCATGAATTATCCAATTTCAAAAACTAAATTAACTAAATTATCTTTGTTTATTGAAATTAGGGTTGATAGGAATTAAGGTTTAAAACTCTAAACTCTAAAACCCTAAAAAGGGTGTGACCTCTAACAAATTCTAAACCATAAACTTTTAAAATAGGTAATCCAAATTTAAAGAGTCTAGAGATTGTCCACGCGTTGTATGCATTTAAAAATTAACATGGTAAGATATACAACAATTCTAACTTATTGATTAATTGATTTAATATTACAAAAAAAAATGTTGTACTAAATAGTTATCTACGTTAGAAGATTAAGCATTTGGAGTAAATTGTTGGACATGTACAATGTTATATATGAAAAGAAATAGATTATTCATTTATAAAATTTACAGCATATCCATATGGAAGATATCTTATGTTGCACATATCCGCAACTTGTATGTCTTTATAAGTTATCAATATTCACTACAGTTCTTTAAAAAAATGATTGGTCATTTTTTTTCTTATATCAAATACGTTTGTAAAAAAACTATTGATCAAAGAAGTTGTAGTGTATTTTGTTTCTATCTAGACATCTGCATTATCTCAACAGAGATGTCGGAATGCATCTTTGTATTTTATTTTGTTAGAACCTTAAATTATAAGAAAAGAATAATTGATATTTGATTGTATTTTTTTAGTCTCACTCTTTTTATCTTTCACATCGATTCATTTGTGACTTATTATATTTTTCTGGATTCACAATTTGTGGACGAGCAAGGTTTTCTTTCGAGAATATTGGTTAGGAAATTATTGACAACTTTAACATTCTAACAACCTTAAAATTCATAAAATCACTAATTAATTTTCTCACACCATTTTTTGGGTTAATGTTACGATTCTCTTTTCTGAAGCTTTTTGTGAATTTTTTGTTTTAAAATCGTAGTTACCTATCTAAAGATTTAAATGTTTTGTATAGTATATTTCGGTTTAATAAATAAAATATATAGTTTTAAAACTGTTAAAAGTTTAAAATAACACATTTAATTTGGAATTATAATTTTTGGTGGATATCAAAGAAAACAAAAAGCTGAAATTGGTCATCCTTATGTTGCACTTTAATTTTTGGAATTAAATTTAGCTATAAAATTGCAGGAATTAATTATTAAAAGTTATTAAAAATACTTATTTATTTTTTATCTT